AGACGAGATTGGCCTGATATGAACATTACTTTTGCATTCACTGGTATCGATTGGAATCCTGAAATTGGATATGATAAACAAGTTCCATCAGATGCCATACCATGGAGACCATATGGCGCTGGCCTTTTTTATGGCTTAACTTTAGTCCTTGACGTTGATATTAATGAATATTATTGTTCTTCGACAGCTAGTGCAGGCTTTAAAGTAATTATACTTTTTATTTTAAAAATCTATAATAACAAGTTAAAAGGATTAAAATTCTTATTCTAAAAATAGTTGTTGATGTTTTTAAAATTCTACAAATATTTATAGATGCTACTACACAGCCCCGTAGAAACACCAAAAATTGCAGATTTTGGATTTGCTGTAGCTCCTGGTAAAGAAGTCAGAGTTATTGTATCACCTCGAATATCAACAGCAAGCAAATCTATAATATCTATACCTCAAAGGAAGAGAAAATGTTTCTTCACATCAGAGAGAAAGTTGCGTTATTACAGAACTTACACGCAAAGAAACTGTATCCTGGAATGCGAGGCGAATTTCACACAAAAAATGTGTCACTGCGTCCAATATTATATGCCAAGTAAGACTGACTTATAATTAAAGCTTAATAATTATATATTCTTAACCTTTAATTTTTACATATTTTTCATTAGAATCATCAAACACTACTATTTGCGGAAAGAAAGATGATCAATGTGCTACTACAGCACGAAGAGCAATGGAAATTAAGCTCTATGATGATAATCAATTGAATATTACTGAAATGTAAGTATAATTTTACAAATAGTTCCTTGTATAATCATAGATTGTTTCACATAGACCAAGCTGTAATTGTTGGCCTGGATGTTTTGAACTAAGTTATAATTTAGAGATATCAGATAGCAAATTGTTGAATAATTTTGACATTCAAGAACAGTACATTAAAAAAAGCCGAAAATATTTTACGTAAGTATTTTTTGTTTACGTGATCTAATTTAAACGTATTATATATATTAAATGACATAAAAGATTTAATCATTTGTATCCTAATACAGTGAAAATATGGCAGTGGTACATATTTTTTTTGTGGAGTCTCAATTTACTAAATCTATGAAGAATGAACTTTTTGGCTTTACGGAATTCCTCTGTGAGTAATTAAAATATTTACTTAATTACTAAAGTAATTATTTAGAAATTAACCATAATGTAAAAAGTATAGATATATATTAGATACAACACTAAATGCTATATTTTTATAGCAAGTACTGGAGGTCTGCTTGGTCTTTTCATGGGATTCAGTTTTCTTTCCGTTATGGAAATATTATATTTCATAACATTACGATTATGGTGTCGTTTAACTGAACATAAAAATGTTCCATCACGTACTATAGTTCAAGTACATCCATTGGATCATAATCATGGTATAATATATCCGTTTGCACAATGAGTTTTATATGTGTTAACAAATATTATAAATTGTTGTAATTAATGTCCGCGTGTGTGTGTGTGTGCATATATATTCATACACATATATATATATGTGTATGTGTGTGTTATATAGCCAAAATTTGAAGACTCCATTAACAAAAATTACTAGATATTTTTCATTATTTCTTTTAATTTCCACCTTTTAGATTAGTATAACTATTATCCTATCGTATTTGTATATATTTCTTCAAAAAAAGATTAACTTGCTTTATCTATAATTAATAGAAATTACAACATTTTTTTCAAACTTACCTTCTTTACGATTCTTTCAAATAAAGAATTCAACCACGATCCGGTGACATCTTTTAAAATGTCTCAAGGTGACTGCTTTACGATATAATTCTTAATGAAATTGTTTTAATTAAAGAAAGTTTACGTTCAGCGTGCTCTGATGCGTCTTCGTTGAGCAAAACGATCTTCTCGACGCCATGTTAATTCTTGTGTTCGTCCCTATCGAAAGTAACTTTATAATGACGTACGCATTCTTAAGCGGGAAATTTGAAAGTTCGTCGAAAAATCGATAAAAAACATATTACAAGATATTACTACGCATTCAATTGAATTACTATATGATGTAATTTTTTCGTAAGTAATGTTTCCCTATCGATTTAATAATTGTAAATTTCGAATTAATTTCGAATTTTACAAAATTAAATCGTTCACATTTTAGCGCTACATGGACGCCACACGGACGACAAACGTAATTCATTATCCTTCATTAAAATACACAAATGGCGCGCGGTTTAAAATGTGCGATAAATGAAATTTACGCAAGATTTCAAAAATGAAAATGTCCTGCGGACATCATTTATTATAATATCTAGAATGTCTGATATAATCGTGCGCTAGTTGTTTTTAATCGATACGATTCCTTATCTAGACGATATTCAATATGTTACATGTACATTTAAAATTATAATCCTAGTTATATTGACAGCAGACTAATCTAACATGACATTTCTTATTATTTTTTTTTTCTTCTTTTCATACAAAACGGTGTATACACGTATAATTTTATCGGTAGCGAAAACTCATACAACGAGTTCCTCTACCAATTATATATCGTATTTATTATCATAGATATATCTTGTGATCGTGGCTGACAATATTTCTTTCATTTAACCGAATTATAATAATACAGAGATTTCTTGCAATAATATTTTTAATGTATGACTCGTTCGTGACGTCCACAGAAAAAAAAAAAAAAAAAAAAAAAAAAAAAAAAAAAAAAAAAAAAAAAAAAAAAAAAAAAAAAAAAAAAAAAGAGAGAGAGAAAGAAAGAACACGCAAAATGTAAACAAAATTCAATGAATCGAAGAACATCCACAAACTTTTCCTGAAAAACGTTTTCTTCCATATGATCGTAAAAATACTTGTACCCGATATTCTCAAAATTATCCTCCTTCGTGTGTAAGCATGTATTTACTAAAAAAAAAAAAAAAAAAAAAAAATTGCTATTCACTTCAATGACATTCTTTAAAGCATCTGTCTCGTTAGAGTTATATGATAGAAGACTTAAAAATATATAATGAACAGATAATTTAATAGGAACGTCTTTTATTATCAAAGGTTCGCACTTTATGCATTATTGCCCATAATAACGCGTCTTATGTAAAAGTTGATCTCGTCGCGAAAAAATCGCTGATTGAATTAAAAAAATTAATGAAATTGCGTACATTACATAATATACAACTCCTTTTTGTTCTACAATAATATTATTATTATTATTATTATTATTATTATTATTATTATTATTATTATTATTATTATTAATATTATTATTTTATTATTATTATTATTATTATTATTATTATTATTATTATTATTATTATTAATATTATTATTACTATTATTAATATTATCATTATGATTTGAAACACCGTATTTTTAATGATCATACGTATGTTCCCTTCACGATCAAATTTGTACATAGTTAGCTTTTTCGAGACTGGACAAAATGTAATAATACATGATATAATGCACACAATACACAATCTGCTTTATCTATATTCGCCTCAACATGTATAAGAAATACCATTGTTATGAAAAAAAAAAATCTGCACAAATATTAGTCTTATCTCTTGGGAGAATAATTCTCAAGAGGTCGGATAGTTTAAGGATACCAATCATGATATCAATTACTTTTTATTTTAATATAATAAATTATTTTATCCATTATCTATTAAACAACTGACAGCTTACATCATGATCCTGAAATTCCGACCCTTAAATTTTTATTATTAAAAATATTATTCAAAAATAGTGGGTTTTTAGATCTTAATAAAAGAATCAATAAATATTGTCAAAAGAAAATGAAATAATATTAATAAAGGCCTTGCGTTGACATATAAATAAAGAATAGGCATTGTGATCGTGTCAGTTAAAGTGTGCGAGAACGTTGAACAGAACTTCCAAGATGATAAATCAGAAAAATTGATGAATCTTAGGAAGACGCTTCCAGAGATTTTGATTAAAGTGGAAGCTCCAGTTCTTTGCATACAAATGTTATCTAAGAGCACAACATTACTGCAAGGAGCCACGCAGCATAAGTAAATTATTGTTAATGAATGTATTAAAACATTTTTTAATCATATTAATTTATCTTTAATAAGTAGCATTAACTTGTAATAATGTTATTGTGTTACATGATCAAATTTTTACCATAAAACAAAGTTTCTAATTCTATTTGATAGATGACGAAGTCTCTATCCCCCATGATGACAGTATTTATTACAAAAAGAAATACAGAAATTACAAGAACACAGTCAAATAATAATCGTAGTAAAATTTGTTATATTTATAATTATCAATGATTATAACATATCAATGACTTTCTCTTAGACTTCGTTTTTTCATATTTATCTTACTTATTTAATAAAAGATTTGTTACAAGCACGTGTTTTTTAAGTTGCTCCGTGCCTCCTTGAATAGTCCTCACAGCAGAACACTTATAATTACTTATTTATCTAGTACTTCGTACTTACATTCGAATATATTTGACTTTTTTTATAAATCATTATTTTTACAATCCTTGCCGATCTTCGTTTATGGAAAAATGGCTAAGATAGACACAATATAATTATGATATTTTTGTTTCTGTGTAAAAGATGCCGATATTTGCAATATAAAAATGTTACTTAGGACCGGCTTTGTAACAATTTCACTCATACAGTATCATCTTAACCGACTACAAAGTCTGTAATACGGATTATAGAGCAGTTCATTAGGTCGTTCATGATTTTGATATGCAAGAGTTCAATGAAAGAAATTATTTTTTAAAAGCACACTTTGCAAAACTGATATATATTGAAATGACATTTTGTTTTTTGTTTAGGTCCTTTGTAATAGATTGCCTCATGATCCAGGAATAGCATATACTTTGCAGAAAATTATTAGTGCCATTATATTCGATCGAAGAATATTGGCAAATTTTTTTTATATGTACAATCCTTATTTTCTTTTTCAAATATTCTTAAGTAAAAATAAAAATAAAATAAAGCATCTTCTTTTTTTTCGACACCCTGATCTATCAGTCTACTTTGTTTGTAGACTGATGACTAACATAATTAGAATTAATTCTAAGTATAACATAATATTTTAATATTTTAAGACCTGTTTTTTTTTTTTTTTTTTTTTTTTCCTATTGAAAATAATAGTAACATAATATGTCCTCCAGCAATTTCATTGCACTACAATTCAGACAAAGTTACCAGAAAATAAACTATACCAATGATTTGAAAGATGGAGAATAAAATAAAAAAATATGAAGAAAAAATACTAATCTAATCCAAAATACTGTAGCAGGTATTATGACCACATAAAAGTAAATTAAAAGTAATTGTATATCTTTATTTTACAAGTTATATTGGTAAAACAAAGAAATCCCCAATCCTAGATTCTGCAAAATTTATAGCATTAATAATTATGCAGAACTAGGCACACGGTGACCAGAAATGTGATGGTGTTTCTCATAATACACTACGGATAAAGTAGCAATTATATTTATATCATATTTAATGTGTACATAATAATTAAAGTATCACTTCATACTTTTTCTCAAGATAATATACAAAGTAAATAAGTTTCTTCTAAAAAAAAAAAAGAAAAAAAAAAAAAAAAAAAAAAAAAAAAAGAAAAAAAAAAGAAAAAAGAAAAAAGAAAAAAAAAAAAAAGAAAAAAAGTAACTACTGGAGAAATGATCTCATACAACGTTTTTCTTAGAATTTTAAAATAAAAATTGAGAAACTTATGAAGTTTAATAGAAGGGAGGAAAAAAATGCATTATATATATTAAATAATAATTAGAAATTATTAAACACATTGTGATAAAAATTTAATGGGTAACACCATCACAGTATTTAACTTAACAGTGGATTAGTCATCCCAGTTTAAAAATTGTGCTTTCTGACTATTACCAACCCCATCTATGACCGATCAGTCAAAACAATGGGTCCACAGCATATAACCATATTAATTAATTCTTGATATTTAAGAGTGGCGGCAGTACGCCATCACATGTAACAAGTGGGGATATAAAAATTAATGTATATATGTATAGATTATTTAGTCAGCTATTTTCTATTACAAACTAGCATCTATTTAGTAACTGATATTTATATAGTTCTCGGTCTTAAAATTATAAAACAGATTAGTCTGCCCGTCGATATTCACTATTATTATTGCAGCTCCAATAAGATATAAACCTTGTTCACGTAGTAATATCCTTGCTGACATTATCGCGGTCGTTGTCATCGCGGTAGCGTATGTTCTGATCCCGAATGACTGGACGGAAGAGGGCTCGCGCTTATATATCGCGATATCGTTCCGTTCCACGACGTCCGCAAATGCAAAGATGCCGTCAAATGTATGTGTAGCTATTCGATTTTTAACGTCTATTCCCCCAGCTTTCAACTGTGGTATAAAATGATGACAATTTCAATGACATTGACTTTTTTTATTCGCGAAATACTTTTGTAACGCCTTAAAGGGTTTTCAAGGTTTTGGTCAATGCTAACAAACTCATTCTTTTTTTGTTTTTTTTTTTCCATTTTTTTTTTTCATTTTTTTTTTCTTTTTTTTTTAGACGCCGCAATGTATATATTTTTGACTCACTGAAAAACAATTAATTCTATGTGATTCGGTGATCATTAGCACGCATAGTGACAGTCTTAAACTGATGTATAGTCACTAATTTCAATGTCAGTTCTAATTGAAACTTCTTAAAGCTACTGCAGACTGGTATTTAACGAGTCATGAAGTTATAACAACACTTTCACCATTTTTCATTCCCATAAAAAGGCATTTATACATTAGGAGAACAAATGAAATTTTACAAATTCATTCGCAAATAAATTCCAAGACTATGCCAGTATATTGTGAAATAGGTTATTATCGAATCTGATGTCGTAATTTCTATTCTGAGTAACAAAATATAAAGTAGATTTGTTTTTTTTCATACCTCTGGTATTAATTCATGAGAAATTTCATTAATGATAGCGGCTGAGAGTTTATAATATTTTACGAGCCGGACTCTTCCAAGTTATATTTTTACCAAACTACTCACTCGCGTTGAGATCGCAGAGTCACTGAAAACTTTTGCTCTTGAACTACACCTACGTGACAGTCAATGAGCGTCGATTTATAGGACCTGAGTCGTCACAAACGTATTAATCCTCACACCAAACACTAAACGTTTTCCATGTAGTCTTCATTTTTATATCATATCCTGACACGCATATTCCATAAATTCCATTATGTAGTAATTGTTTAATAAGGTCAAAAAATAACCCTTTTTACCAACTCCTGAAAGGTATTCTCTAGCTGAATCATTTGGGTTCTGGGAAGGCCACTTGACATTTGTAGACTTCTTCGAGCATGACTGCTTGACCTTGACCCTGACTGACAGTTACAGGAGTTGTGGCATTCACTACAACAACTTGTTGCCCTTGTTGCCCTTGTTGAGGTTGCTGCTGCTGCTGCTGCTGTTGACTACTTGCATTTGTTTGTTGTGCATTACTTGGATTATTTGTGTTCTGGTTTCGAGCCGTTTGTCCATACTTTTCATGAATTGCACGATGTCGTTTTAATGCGAAACGGTCAGAAAATCCTATCTCGCATATATCACATCTAATAAAAGCAAAAACTTGTAAAATAAATCTACATAGAGCATGTTACATAAAAAAAGTTTACAAATCGTATGTTAAGAAACACGCTCACCTATGTGGTTTCTCACCAGTATGAACTTTCGCGTGATTTTTCAGGTGTGTTGCTTGATTGAAGGCGGAACCACAAATATTACATCTGTAAGGCTTTTCACCAGTATGAATTCTCCTATGATTCCAGAGAGTTGAATGTCTAGCAAATGTTTTTTCGCAGACTTCACATTGATACGGACGTTCGCCAGAATGAATTCTTTCATGATTTTTCAGATGAGGACTCTGTGAGAATTGCATCCCACAGACACTGCATTTAAATGGTTTTTCTCCGGTGTGAACTCGTCCATGATTTTTCAAATAAGCAGCTGAAAACAAAAAGATTATTGATCATATATTACATGTTGAAATAGATGAATGTGCGTCCAGATTTAGAGTCCAACCAAATTTATATGAGAAATACCTATTACAAAACATTTTATACAGCCGTCGCATGCACATATCCTTACCTTTTGCAAAAGCTAAACCACAGACTTCGCACTTGAATGGTTTATCACCCGAGTGCAACCGCTTATGAGACCAAAGTGAAGAATACCGGGAGAATGTACCATCACATACATTACAATGAAATGGCTTCTCCGCTTGGTTCTGACTGTTTTGTTTGCCACCTGAAATTGGAAATACGACCAAAATTTTAGTTTTCCTCAAAGGGCCAGTTCTACAAAAAGATGTGCTCAAGGTTGACCTGTGATGTGTTTTAACCAACACGATGCACAGGATTATGCACGGTAAATGTTCTTTTCTTCGTGATACATTCAAAAGAGGATTTTTATAATATCTGATTATGATAATAAAGAACTTGTAAAGCAATAATGCTTGCTTGAATTAAATTTATGCATGTTATTTAAAAACTTTTATACATGCAGATTGCAAAAGGTTAGTTATTTTTTTTTTTTTTTTTTTTTTTTTTTTTTTTTTTTTTTTTTTTTTTTTTTTTTATCAAAATTAAATATTGAATTTAATGTATAAAGTATTTATTTAACAAGAAACATTGAAATGACCTCTTTTATTATTTGTATCTTGAAATTAAGAATGTACTAAGCAAAAATTTGAAATAACTTTTATATTTGGACAACGCTGAAAATTTTGAGTCAAATTTATAAAACTGTCCCTTAGGGGAGATTTCATTCCGTGCAATTGTCCTTAAATTTAGATGTCGACAGTTCTACTGAAGAAATAAAGTAGAATTGACATACCAATAAAAAAGGTATAAAAATCTGTGAAAACATCAGTGACCATAAATCTTTTTCTACCTACTACAAATGCATGCAAACATATAAATTTGAAGCATCAAAGAATTATATAGTATGCAATACTTGAAAATAAAAATACTTTGGACTGTGTCTATGTAAATATCAAAAATTGTTACTAGAAATTTTTAATAATAGAGATAAATGAAATATTTAAAAATTTTTAATCTTTTTCAATTGCAACTTAATTTATATCATGAATAAATAATAAATTCAGTATGTTTCACTTAATATAAAGATTTTGAACTGTCACCATCCAAAGCAAATATATAAGAGGTTACTTAGATAAATTAATTACAACACAGTAACCCCATATTTTTATTGATTGCCATCTTTTCCGACTTACTTCCTATGATGATGCGGCCTGTTGCCTTGCAGCCGCCACACTTTGCGAGGGAACTGATTCCAGAATCTAGTTTTTCGTCGTGTTTACCTACCATACACCACCCGATGTACGATCATGATAGCAATGAGATGATAGAAATATGGTGGAAAAGTGACAATATTTGGAGAAAGAGATGTTTCTGATGTTCTACTAATTTAAGGGAATTGAGAAAATTATCATTTTTATTCTATTTTCGAAAATTGAAAATAGAAGTAAACAAATATGAAGTTTACATTTCTTTTGTTTCTTTTTCTTCTTTTTTCTATTTTATTTTCTGTTTTATTTTCTTTTCTTTTTTCTTCTTCTTTTTTCTTTTTCTTTTCTTTTTTCTTTCTTTTTCTTTTCTTTTCTTTTTTTTTCTTTTTTTTTCTTCTTCTTCTTTTTTTTTTTTTTTTTTTTTTTTTTTAACAGGAACATTTCTTTTTCCAAATTATTTATAGCATGAATTTATGATGAACACTCACCGATGAATATTATTCCTGTGCCATTACATTTATGACATTTGGTAACACTAGTAACTCCCCTTCGTTTTACTGGATGATGACCAGGTTTAATTGCTACACAAAGAAAAAGGACATTTATTACACAAAGATGGGGTCACAATAGAACAACAAACACTCCTAATGTGTATTCATATCATCTTTTATACATATCATTGACACTTCATTCAAATATATTTATTCAAAAACGTACTCTTTTTGATTTTTGTGGGATGATGTTCGCACGGATCTTCACTACCACAATCTTCACATATTTGCACTTTTGGTTTTTGGTGCATATTTGTTTTATGACTTTTCAATTCTCCAGGCAGTGCAAAACAAGCTCCACAGACATCACAAGTATACGGTCTTTCAGGTGTAGTAGCTACAGTCACTGTCGTTGGTGTTTGGACAACAACTTGTTGTGGCTGTTGTTGCAAATTACTCGGTGTAGTGTTGTGAATTCGTTTATGATGATTCAACAAACTCATGTGACCAAACACCAGACCACATATATCACATTTAAAGGTTGCATTAGTTGCAGCCGCAATGCTCATCTGATTTAATAATGTATTATATCCAACCGGCTGGACATCAAAACGATAACAACCTTTATCATCTGTTGTTATGGCACCAATTGTGCTCACTGCATTTGTCTGAACTTTTTGAAGCATGTTCACATTATAATAAAAAGGAAATTCTGCTGTTGCAGATTGTTGTTGTGATTTATCTTCCTTTTTATCTGTTACATACATCTGTTGAGATTGCTGTTGCTGCGATTGTTGGCCCTGTGCAGCTTGCTGCTGTTGAATTTGTTGTGGGTCAAACATTGCTGCTTGCTATTAAAAATAGAAAAATTTGTTATTCCCTCAGATTAAAAAGGCATATTGTTTATACTCCAAAATAAGATAAATATATATTTACTTCTAAAAAAGGAACATATACAAAAACACACATATATATACATAATTTTATAAAATACTTTTATTACAATTCTTTTCTATGCTTTTCCAAATTGATTATATAATATCAAATCTGTTATGTCATAAATGTGGATATTTAATTGTTTTTTTTTTCTTTTCTTTTTTTTTTTTTTATTTGTTAGAACTTTATATTTATACATCAAAAGTAGAAATACAAACCTGTCTTTGATCTCCGTAACTTGAATTACTTTGCTCCGTTTGAGTGAAACTGTTGGTTTGTTCAGTTTGTGTGAACATGGAACACTTCAGTGGCTGCACAATAGGTTGGTTCTGCGGAATATAAAATTTAGTTTAATCACTCTGACATATGTGTTGTTTTTATTAAAATTAATCTTGATGATCTTGTCCTTCTTTAGAACTATTACGCTGCACAATAGTACACATGTTATAATTTCAATATAAAGAATTATAAATTTCTTGTTTCATTGCTATTAGTTCCCTCTTTATCTCAATGGTTTACGTGCTGCATATACCTGTCGTATATGATTAAGACGGGTTGCATTTAACCAAACCACGTTGTTGCCATTTGATTCTAAGGCCATTGATGTGTTGTCTTTGACCCTGCACAATCGATAGGCAGTTATTAAAGTAAGGACACCTAACTTGATCTGCAGCAATACAAGTCGTTTTAAAATGACCCCCCTGATCAAAGCCACGCCAAGTTAAGATAGTTGACTTCAGCGTAGACTGCACAGCAGGAAGAAGCAGTAAAACCAAGAGGGAACCAAAGCATCATGCACATTAGAAAAATTAACTAAGTACTCACGTGCTATGGTCTTATAGAGACGGCGCACGGGTTAAACGTCCGGCTGCCGGGCGGGCGACGATCTTCTAGTTGCCATGACGGCGGCGGTGTCGGTGGTCGTGGCGGTGGTAGTAGCGGTGACGGCGGCAGCGGCCGCGGCGTCGGCGGCGGCGGTGGCGGCGGTTGTGGCGGCGGCAGCGGCAGCGGTAACGGCGGCGGCGGCGGTGGCGGCGGCGACGCGGCGCGTGGTTCCGTGCGACCGTTTAGCCTGTACGCGCCGACGATGATGCTTTCCCGAGTTTCGAATAACTATACCGCTGATGCATTCACAAAACCGATGATTTTTGTATTCTTCGAAGAGCCGTGGACGCGCGCGAGAATGAGAGCAAGCGAGAAAGGGAGAGAGAAAGAGAGAGAGAGAGAGAGAAAGAGGGAGTGAGAGAGTTGAGTGAGAGAGAGAGAGGGGGGGAGAGAGAGAGTGAGAGAGATCGATGACGGTCGTACACAGGCACAAGATATTTTCTTTCAGCACATTCAAAACGTGTATTTCCTTGTGGCGCTTGTTAAACAATATCCTCGTAATAACTTAAGCCTCTTATTCGTTCTGCCGGGGTTCTTGGGCAACCTTAATTTCGCGCGTCGAAATCACACGCTTGTCACTGAACAACGTTGGCCCGCGCAGATCATGTCGTCCAAGCAGCGCGGTGGCGGCTGCGGCGAGTCCTGTACGAAGCGCGGGCGTCTCGGTGTCATAAAAATTGGCGGTACCGCGCGCTCAAGTTTATCCGAAGAAAGCCCGTCTTAGCTTCGAAGCGGACAACCCGCGTACCGCAGCTTATCCCACGCTCAAGATACGTCGATGCGCGAGAAAGCAGGCTGTGCACCGTCAACAAACTTCGCGGTAGCCATTACACGCGACGAGGATAACAATGGGCGACACGAAAGCGCGCTATGGCCCCGATGCCTTTTTCTGAACAGCTTCGAGGCGCCTTCCGTAGCGTTGACCAATCAGAGCCAAGGTCGGTATCTTGAGAAAACGGGAGAGGCACGCGCGACTCGACGCGCCAATTGTATTCATTGGCCAAATGTACAATAAGAACCGATTGTAATTGGCTAGACGGCGAAGGTACGCTTTCTCTTCGTTGAATAAAATGATTTTATCTTGTCGTTCATTTTTCAGATACATTTCATAATAATTCAGTTATAACAATTTATCCATTGTAAAGATTTTCGATATATTATATTTTATTATTATATATTTTTTTATTATCGATCGTATTGTTCATGATATTTGTTATATATCGAGCAAGGAAATATATTTATTGAATGTTGTAGAATTGAAATAACAATACCATTAATAATAATAAAATAATAGGTAATTGAGAATTTTATTACGATCGGTTGCGTTTCTATATAAATGGAATATTTTCTTGAGAACATGCCTTAATAGTCACGTTGAGTTAAATTCAAATATCGCCGCTAGGTGTAACTGCTGTAGCTGGACTTTTTCGTTACTGTTAAATACAAGTTAGAGGTACTTACGTCTTATATTCAAAATTTAAGATTATACCTGTTGTGCGTATACATTTTGATTCCCATCTATATGATTACTCTGTTCAATTATATATTATATTTATCAGGTTTATATGAAGAATGTGTTTAATTATATTTATTTACAATGATACAAAAGATTTAATAATATTTAACATAGTTGAGTCACATATTTTTCTTATTAAAATTAAAAATAATTGAAAAATGTTTAGAACAGATTTGAAGTTTGCTTTTGTTACATATTAATATTATAAAAATTTTAAATATTAAAATTATCATGTTATATAAATATTTACGATATATATATATATAAAATTATTTATTTTTAAGAAATTATGTTATTTATAAAATTTTTGATTGTATAGGTTAGTTTACGTAATATTAGCCTATCACTTCAAAAACCTTTTATTATAATGATCAAGTACAAATTGAATATCACAGCTTTACCATTTATATCCAGCTGATCCAGCATTTATGACCACTGATAACGTAAAAGATATATGTATCGAGTTTAATAATTATTTATAAAACTGTATGTAACTATTTTCAAAATTATTTAATAAGATATAAAAGCACGTTCATGAGTTACGATTGAAACAATGAAATTATATGAATATAAGAGACAATAATAATAATAATAAGAACAATAAATACAATAGTAATATTTACGAATTAAGTTTTACAATGAGCGAGCGAGCGAGCGCGCGCGTCCATGTGTATATATGAAAATAATACTTTGTAAAATTTATGAGTTTGGAATTATGATAAAATTTTGATAAAAAATGAATTTTAAAAAATTGATTTTATTTTAATAAATAAAAAAAAATACTTACAAAAGAAATAAAAAAAAAAAAACAAAAAAAGGAAATTTTTTCGAAACTAATTCGCTCGCGCCTTGGGATAGATACATATATATATATATATATATATATATATATATATATATATATATATATATGTGCGTGTCGAGTTGCGCACAAATGTAGCACTGAAAGCATTTCAAAGCAATTCTAGGCGGTGTAGAACAGCGAATATGTTCAGTTGGCGTCGCGACGTCACGACTGAAGGGTCGTAGGATTCGTATTTAGAGAAAGGGGTCTTCGATAACATTTCTCTCGTTTAATTAATACCAAATGAAAAGTTAAAGAGAAACATAAATAAAAGGAAGATAATAATAAGCATCGTAAAAATAACGAAAGATATTGTAATAGAAAGAAATTCGATTAATTCTAAATCATTGAACCAAATAAATTATGGCCAATCGATTCGAGAAAAACACGAGAACGGAGGAGTCATTCTAGAAATACCTATATATAAAAAAAAAATTCCTCTTTTTCAAAATGAACAAATATCAAATGTCGACGAGTGTGTATATATATATATAGAAAAAATAAAAAAAAAAAAAAAAGAAAAGGAAAAAAACAAAAAGAAAATAAAAAGAAAAAAGGACAAATTTAAAGTCTATTTTGTTAGATAGATAAAAAAAAGAAAAAAAAAAAGAAGAAGAAGAAAAAGAATAAAAAAAACTTTATCGTTGACGTTACTGAATTTCGTGATGCTCCAATCGTGATTTCGTGTTTTGATCTTGTGACATCTCAATATTCCGAGATAAAGGTGTTCTTCTTTCATCAATTTTACTTCAAACGAGGAGAAAAAAAAGAACAATAAGATCGTTTTGTTACAACTAACGAACAAAGTTTATAATTTATTATTTTTAAAGGGATTCTAAAAGAAGAAAGATGAGAATTATACGAATCGTTCATGAAGATAAACCAAAAGGACATACTTACGTTTGACAGTGTGCCAAATCTTCCGGGAAAATTAAAAATTGTTCTTTAATCTCGACGTAGTTCATATATATATATATATATATATATATATATATATATATATATATATATTTATATATATATCTATATATATATATATATTTTTTACTCTCTCTTTTTCTCTCACTCTCACTCTCTCTCTCTCCTTCTCTTTCTCTCTCTCTCTTAAACAGGTCGTTAGTCACGTGTTATTCGATTTCATTGAAATAGAAGAGAAGAGTATAATAAAGAATACAAATAAGAAGATATATATGTATATATATATATAATATTTCAAGCATATTTCGATCGATGAAATTTCAACGAAAATTTCGGATTAAAGACTGTCTATTTACGACATATTCCTTTTATAAAGAATATAAATTGTACATTTAATAAATGGTGAACTTTGTTTATCTCGCTTTCGTCATTGGCGAGACATATTTTTGAAAAAGAAAGAAAAAAGAAAAAAAGAAAAAAAGAAAGAAGAAGAAAAGAAAAGAAAAAAAAAAGAGGAAAGAGTGAAAAGAAAAAAAGTCGAGTGTTATTAAGATAATATAGATATTTTAAGTTTGATTATGATAATCGATGATAATGTTCCCAAAAATCGTGTAATTATTCTTAATAATTATTAAAAATCTCAAACAGAGCCAATAATAAAAGGGGCTCCGTAATGTGTCCTGGTACGAATATTTTCTTTTATACCATCTAAATTTGTCGTTTCAACGGCTTTCACAGCGTTGTGGTGGTATATTTGTTGTATGAATCTGTTGGGTCATCGACCTACGAACGATCTCTCTCATCGTCGAATAATTTTAGATAACGATAGTGAATTATATATTAAAAAAAAATATATTCGCTGTTGGAAAAAAGTTGGATGAGAGCTTCAAACGAGTCAATGTTATTAGGTATGAATTAATGAAATTTCAAATTATATCTTGGGATTATAAGATTTTTTCAATGAATTTTATTGATAAATTGATCCTTTTTTTTTTTTTTTTTTTTTTTTTCTTATAAATCGAAACATTCATTAATGATAAATTTCTAATAAAATTCTTATAAGATAGAGTTTATCAATCTCGTCGATTTTACGTATATTTATATATTTACGCTTACACTTCAAATAGTACACGATAATAGACAGATATTATTCTAATGATACAGATAAAAGATATTTGTATAGTAACGTATGTGGTACTTACGTACTTACGTTCGCTCGTAAAACTGAGCGCGCGTAAAACAATGCATATATATATATATATATATATATATATACATACGTTATATATTATATACTATATATTTATATATTTTATATACTTTATATATATATATTATATACTATATATTATATACTATATATTTATATATTATATATGTTATATATATATAAGTTTTAAATGTTGACTTACAAATTTCAGGGAATAACGATAGAATGAATGCGATGAAATTTTTAATTTAATACATTTTAACAAGAAAATACGAAGGAAACTTACGATTAGAATAAAATTTGTATCATTAAACGAAAATATTGCTGATAGATAAAAATAGATATTGCGGGATAAAAAAAAAAAAAAAGGAAAAAGAAAAAAGAAATGTCTAATTCACCCGTTATTAAAAAAGTACCACCAAGACCGAAAATCACTCTACCGATTCCTGGTCAATATGGACGATATCCACAAACACCCGCGGGATATGCATCAACACCTTATAATCAAACACCCGCACCTATTACACCTGTGCCTGTAACACCCGTTTCCGGACAACCACAAGTATTTTATTCCAACAGAGCTAGCGAATTTGTATTTACACAATTTAAAGGAATCAAAGACTTTACAAAATCTGGACTTAGCGTAGGCGAGAGAAGTGTATTTTGGTTATACGAGAAGGTAATATATTAAATATTTCGCAAAAGTTGGAAATTCAGAAAAAAATTATTTTTCCTTTTTGTCAGAAATTATAAATCTTTTGTAGGTTAGCTCCTGGAGTAAACGATGGTTCACCCACATATTTTTAGTAGTTATTGTATTTTTGTATAGTGTAGCCGGAGCAATGATTTTCATTACCATCGAAGGAACGAACGAGGATATATTTCATTTGAATATACGTCAAGAAAGGTAAATTATATGTTAATCGAAAAAAAAAAAAAACAAAAAAACAAAAAAAGAAAAATAAAAAAAAAAAGAAAGAAAAGAGAAAAAAAAAAACGAACAAACCAAAATTTGAAATTAAAATGAAAGTCTTTTTTCTTTCTGATCTCTCTGAAAAGAACTCCGAAAATATTACTTTTTAATATAACAGATCTAATCTGTATCGATTGGTACGTTTAATTTTTATTTATACTTCTGTACTTTTTTTTTTTTTTTACGTTCGATAATAAAAAATATAAAATATTGCGGGAATTAAAATGTTTAATCATTTACATTGTGAAACGTATAGATCAAATGATAGTCCCAGAAAATGTGGGACAATTAAAGTGTCTATTTTAACGAGAGACAAAGAGAGAGAGAGAGAGGGAGAGAGAGAGAGAGAGGGAGAGAGAGAGAGAGAAACAAAAAGAAAAAGAAAAAGGAATAAAAGAGAATAGTATAGTATAGCATGTTGACACATATATTTA